TAAAAGGGTTCGTTGATTGTGTAAAACTACTCCCGTGTTGCGCGATTTTATATGCAATATAAAAAAGAGGAATCTCAGTCTATTGACGGTCAAAAGTCTAATGATGTCACAATTCTACAAATAACACACAAATGTCATGCAAAGGTCTGGGAAATTCGATGTAATGAAAACAACTAGATTTACTATTTATCACATATATGAACTGGCTAACGAGTTTGTTCCTTAAACAAACTAATATTCTTCTTCCAGTTCTGTTGCGTCATACCACTTCCAACGTGTGATCCACACTATTATAGAAAATATAGGGAATTTTAGATTTTAGATACATAGAGAGTACACTGAGTCTAATTTCCTCTACAACATACGTAAATATCAGATAAATCCGAGATGTCTATGCATACTAGAGCCGACGCATCACTTATTCAAATGGTCAGTTTTCGCTATTATTTGTTATTAGTATTATCATTACTTTTTTCCTTCCAGGTCAGGGGTGGTGCAAAGCATTTCTTGGTTTTTCACCCAGCGGTCAAATTATTGCAAATGTGTGGAGTTCATCAAATATTACAATTTCTGCTCTCGGTCCACAAATACAAACAACACCATTTTGGACACACATTGTTCAAACATGGTCATCAACAAATGGCTTACGTCTTTATATAAATAATTATTTATATACAAGTGTCTCAAATGCAACAACATACCTAGGATCTGGTTCACAAAATTATGCAACATTAGGAACTGTATTAAATGGTACAAGTTGTTCAGCAGGACAAATTCAAAGTACATCACAATATTTTGGTGATATTGATGATTTTCGTATATTTAGTAGAGAATTAACAAGTACAGACATATGTGAACTCGCAAATCTATAAACATTTTCGATCACTTTATTAAGCTTGGCTACATTCATTTGCTCATGTACACGCACACACAGACACAAACGGCAGTTAATTAATCGCTAAACATGCTATTCGCTAAATTATTACTCTTTTTCTTAATTATCGACTTTTATGAGATAGAACGTTCAAATTTTAACAAAAATTTGGGTTCACAAAATGACTTAGTTTTTTCTCTATTCACTACGAATGATTGATTTAATCTTTACTACCGCAGCAGTACTGTCGATACACGGAGTTGGGAGTATTCTTGAAAACTTCAAATAAACTCATTCGACTCAGTACCTAAGTTGTTATAAACATCCCAGGCAGACATTTTTTTAGACCAAACGCACTGCTAAACGCGTTTTTTTGTACTAAAAACGAGTCTGAACGCGTTTTATTACAACTGAAACGCGTTTGGACGCGTTAATTGGTGATAAATACGTTAGAATCAAACGCGTTTGGTCGCGTCAGAAACTGACGCACCAAAACGCTGTGAAAATAAACGCATTTTGCCGCGTTCAAAT